TGTGAGGAAATTATAAATCACTTCAGTTGTAGCAACATATGCATTCATTTCTCTTTCTTTTGTTGTGGATTGTTTGAACCCTGCATCTTATGTTGCATACAGTACCATTAGACTGTTTTTATGCCATAATTGGATTTTGTTCAATCATTTCTTATTGCATTGAAGTGAAATTCTGTGGCGGTAGTTATAAACTTATGAGTAGTAACAAGAACAGTTTCTTATTTTCTCTAACATCTTGAACTAATTGAATAAAAATGGATGTAAGTTAGAGACATCAAACTCACTTGTGAAAGGATAGGTATATATTCATGCTAATAATTCTTTATTGCTGAAATTCACTTTTTTTATCGTTTTGAATTTGATAATTTTATCAAGTAATATTCTGTTGTCCAATTCGCTGATTGACTACAATAACCTCAATGGTTCACTATTTACTTTTGTCAGGTTATTCTTTATAAGCTCTCTAGTGTGACGGTGGGATCTAGTGATGACAAGTCTTCTTCTGAGTTATTGAAGAAATGGATCTATGTTGGTCTTGTAAAAGCTCATACACACGATGTTAGGGCTTTGACAGTGGCTGTACCAATCAGCAGAGAAGGTTTGCCCATATCTTATGCATGATTTATTGATTTTCCTTGTTTTTGCTGTTATTTAATCTTTCCCTTTTCACACATAAAAAGATTCATTAGTTTATGCTCTTTGTTACGTCTCAACTATTTTCCAATTCTTAAATCAAGTCATTCTCTAATTTGCAGATCCCTTGCCAGATGAAGGTATAAAAATACACCGTAAAGAACGTCGTAAGATAACGCGTAATAATATTAATGAGTTTAGTTATCGTAAATGGGCACATTTGGGTGTTCCCATGCTTATATCTGCTGGTGATGACACAAAGTTAATCGCATATCCTGTTAAGGAGTTCACACAGTTTAAACCTCATGATATCTGCCCTGCGCCTCAGAGACTACCAATTCAACTGGTGCTTAATAGAACATCCAAACAGTCATTGCTTCTTGTACAAGCTTCTAGTTGGGTGGATATTCTTCTTGTACGTGCACAAAGTGGCACCTTTTCCAAGATAGCTCCTGTCTCCAAATGGGGCCAAGCCTCAACAGATCTTTTGGTTCGAGTCAAGAGTAAGGCATATCGGAAGATCATTTGCAGCACAATTTCTAATACGGGAGTGCTTTTTGCATATTCTGATCATGTGAAACCTAGCCTATATGAACTGAAGAAGAATAAAGTTGGCAAAAGTGCACTGACTGTTAATAAAAGACAGCTTCCACAGAAACTACCATTTGCCCATTCCATGGTTTTTAGTTCTGATTCTTCTCGCTTGATGATAGCTGGGCATGATAGAAGAATATATGTAAGCTATTTCCTTCTTGTTGCTCTATTTCATCTATTGTTTCAAAGATTTTTTTTTTTTTTTTGGGGTTTGACTGTAAAGAGATTGATTATTTGAGACATGATAACCTGTAAAACACGTTGATTAGATAGGGACAAAACCTGCGTATTCATTTAATGTTATGTGGCTTCCATTTCTTGACTTACCTCACATGATATAGGTTGTGGATGTGAGCAGAGAAGAACTAGTGCACAGGTTCACCCCTTGTCGCGATTTGCAGGATCAAGAATTACCACCTAGTGAGCCTCCCATAACAAAACTGTTCACCAGTTGTGATGGGCAGTGGTTGGCTGCCATCAACTGCTTTGGAGATATTTATGTATTTAATCTGGAGATACAAAGGTATGAAACTATACTTGGTGTCTCTTTTTCTGGTCGGTGCCTATGATAATAAATTTCTTTTTTATTTTTTACTAGGACCTTGACGAATTTACTATTATAACTCTTTTTTATCATGTAAAACAGGCAGCACTGGTTCATTTCAAGACTAAATGGCGCATCTGTGACAGCTGGTGGTTTTTCTCCTCGAAACAACAATGTGCTTGTAATCACAACCTCTTCAAATCATGTATATGCATTGGATGTTGAGGAGAGAGAACTGGGAAACTGGTCGAGGCAGCATACGTATTGTCTACCAAAGAAATTCCAAGAATTTCCAGGCGAAGTTATTGGGCTCTCTTTCCCACCCTCCTCAAGTTCATCTGCTGTTATTGTTTACAGTGCCAGGTGCGCTCCTTTTTCTTTGTCTATGAATGAGGTGTGATTTGCGCATGTTATAGAGCTCAAAACCATGGAAGTTGCTAATGTGAAAAAATGAAAGATAATCCCTTGTTATGTTGGTATCCAGAGGTAACACAATCTTCGGTTGAATCCGAGTCCGGTTTAGGCATTAGATTTTATGTTGTGAGGATTTTACAATAAACACTAGACCTGCCCTAGGACATGAAGGTGGTGGTACCATATGCCGGAGTCGTGTCTGAGGGGATGGCATTGGAATGCCATACCCATTCTAGAGCCAAGTCAGTTAGTGATATTTAACTGTGTAAATGTTACCATTTTGACGGACTCGCGTGTCCCATGGTTTTTTTTTGCTATCTCCTTAATGAGTAGTGCAGCTTATAGTAGATTTTGGGGATATCAGTTTTTATGATATAACTAATTTCAAGGTTATCTTATGCTTTAGGGCAATGTGCTGGATTGATTTTGGGAAGCCCATTGATCCAGACGATGAAAGTGGCATGCCAAACGGTCAGAATCCGACATCGATGAATTTGCAAAGTAGTAATTCGATTAAGAAGATTCTAAAACGTAAATTGACAGACAGTGAAACTGAGAGTAGACTTATGGCTATGAAGAATTTTGATTTTATTTGGTTCCCAAGTCCAGCTTTATTTTTGGGTCATCTTTCGAATAGTTCTCTGTTGATGATAGACAAACCGTGGATGGAAGTGGTTAAATCGTTGGACTCTGCACCTGTACACAGACATGTTTACGGGACATAATGCCATGGATGGTTTAGCCTTCGAGAGAGTGAGAGAGCGATCAAATGTGGCATTCGATCTCTTTTACATTTTGCCATCGTTTCTTCTCTTTGGTTACGAAGGGCTAAAGCATGTTGTGTAATTTTACTCTTCAAAATTTTGTTCTTGTTAACCAGTTTAAAGAAGTTTGTCTTACGATTCTTTTAGGTTTGTGCATTTGATGGGTACGTCCCTTTCGGTTCCTTGTAGGCTTTGGAGCGGTATGATTTCTTATCTTTTGCATTTTTAAGAGACTGTAAAATGTATATTTGTAGGTTCCATTTATTGAAGGAACTGGGAAGTTATCCTTGCTTGTGAACGGTGACATGAGATGTTACGGCAAATTTTGCTTTTCGGCCGACGAATTTGCGAGGTTTGCTCTTGTTCTGAGTTTTACACGGTCAATTCCATCGAGCTGTATTTTCTCGCCGGTTTCACCCTGCGCTGATAAAGTTTTGGAGTCCGTAGAAATTCCACGGTTCGAATAACCCGAAACAAGGGGGATGGGACCTGAGAGTACGCATACCAATGTAAGAGACAAGAGGGATCGACCATTTTAGTTGGAAATTTTCGGCTCTCCTTTTTCTTTTGTAATGTTGCACGACGGTCAAAACAATAGGCTTTTCAAGTTCATTATGCAAAAAATCAATCAAATTAAAATCATGTAACCATTCAATTAGGTTTCATCTTCAATTGAATAACATGGTTCACTTATTTATGGATAGTTTTTAGATGATTAGACAATTCATTATCGGTGGATTTTGACCTTTAAAGGGTGACCTATAAAATAAACAATTCGAATCATCGTATAACATTTCAGGATAAAAATGAGAATCAAGAAAGTAAAACTAAAGAGAGAATTGACCGATTAATATTTGGTGGAATTTTTAGATGATTAGACAATTCATATTTGGTGGATTTTTTAAAGTTGAACTTTAGAGTGACCTAGAAAACAGACAGTTCAAATCATTGTTTAACATTTCATAATGAAAATGAGAATCGAAGAAGTAAAACTAAAGAAAGAATGACTGATTAAATAGGAAGCGAAGCAGTATTGACTTTTAAAATTTTCAGTAAAAATTAGATCAAAATCCCTTCCCAAGATGTGGACTACTAAATTTGAGGATGGCAACCTTTCAATAAAATAATTGTCAAGGGAAAAATCTGCCAAAACAAATTCAATAGTTGCACCAATATTTTCTAATGAGTATCATAAGATTAGAGGGTAGCTATCACAATGTGGTGGGGTGCCCCTTTTGGTTGCAAATGAAGCTTACCTTTTGGTTCCATTTCATCGACAAATTATCTTTTTTCTTAGATCTTTGTTGGCTTGAAAATTGCATTGCCAAATTTTACGAGAGAAATCTCTCATGCATCCAAGATATCAGATAGCTATCTCTTATTAATTTTTTTCTCTCTCTTCTATTAGTAGTTAGTTTTTATCAATAAAAAATGAAAGAGATGTTACTGATATTATGTATTGGACGCATGAGAGATTCTCTCCAAATTCACCCACCTAAAAGTTGTTGTGAGCTAGGCTGGCAAGCTGGAGTAGAAGAATAAAGTTGAACCATTATTGCTCCTCTGGCTTTGGCTTTGGCTTTTTTTTTGGTTTGAAATGCTTAATCATAGTGTGTGGGTGCAAATGGTCATCTCATCTCATCTGTTTATAAATGGAAAGTGCAGGTTCACTCTTTGGTCTTGAGTGGACCACAACTCTTTCTATACTTAGCTTTATTCCCTACACCCTTATTTAACCTAAAACTATGGGATTATTGAGAAGCAAACACTTTATAGGTCACTTATTCTTAATATTATACACTATTTTAACACATCACGTCCTTTTAGAAATGTTGGTCGGTTATGTAGAGTTAACTAGTCATTCTTCTTTATTTTATAAATTATCGGCTGACACACATACTGAAGTGACTTACACTGTAAAATTTTATAGGACAGAAAGAAGTAAGTATTTTTCGTTCCTTAATATGCATTTATTTATTTTTTTGTCTAATCTAGGCGGCAGCTGAACTTAATGCATGTAAAATGAATACGTGGGAGAAATGAGAGATCAATAGGGCGATAATTTACTAATATTTTTTTTTATGTTCCTTACGTTGTTTCCCACTGCGTTGACAAGAAGAAATAAAATGTAATTTATTGGAAAGAAAGGTAGCAAAAAAGCAAGGAACAAGATCCCACGGGATCTAAATCTAATTGCGTTTTAGCTTTTACATTGTTTGTTTCCCGATCTCTTCTCTCCCCAACTGCAGCAGATGAAATGAGATACTTCATTCCTGTCATTATATATATCACTCCCAACTTTCACCTTGCAAATCACCTGTTTGATAACTATTTCGTTTTTAGTTTGTGGTTAGAGATCTAAGAGAAATACGGGCAGAAACGAGGGAAAAGAAGAAGGGAGTAATGCGGAAGAAATATATTTGAAATGGTAAGCAAAATTATCGGTTTTTGGCTTTACCTGGTTTTTGTGAAGCTGGACTTTTGGGTAGAGATGACTTCAAGAAACCAAAGTGCTGCAGCAATGCAGATTTTCCCTGAAAGAAATCAACATTTGCACCACATTCTTTAAAGAACAGAAGCAGATAACAAAAAACCGGAATTACGAAAAAGTGCAAAGAAAGAACCTTCTTGTGTGTTGCAGAAAAACCCTCAGAGTAACCCAATACATTCTGCATTGAAGATTCATCTTTTGAGAAATTAGTACTCAACTTCTTCTGTAAAATAAGAGCACATTTATGTAAATACATCGACCCGAAAAACAAATATATACATTTATGCAAACATGTTGCTATTAATTTTTGCCTTGGAATAGTTGAGGACTGGGGAGCTAGCGGTGTCATCAAGGTGGAGCTCTCTGCTGCCATTTCCTTTGCTCTTCTTCTTGCTTTTCTTTCCCAATTTGGAACCCCACGAAACCGAAAAAGAAGATCCGTCTTCGTACACGCAGTCTTCGTCAAAATCGTGGTAATGTGGAGGTCCAGAAGAAGCATCAGAAACCATTGAAAGATCCTCTTCCTCTTCTTCTTCTTCTTCTTCTTCTTTTGTCTCCACATAATCAGCAAAACCCCCAGGTTTTTGGAACTGACTTTGAGAAAGATAAGAGGACTGATCCAAGTAACTTGTCCATCCAGATTCACATCCACTATTGTATTGTGATGGTGATATATTCATCTCCACTCTCCTCAGCCCAAAACGGACTTTCACACTTAACTTCGAGCGGTATTTCTAACAGGGTGCTGTTATTGAGGCTCCAAAAAACGAAGAAAGTGTGTATTTTGCAGTAGTACAATTAGCTGCTGCTCTGGCAATCTCCCTTTCTTTTCTTTTCTTTTCTTTTCTGTTACTGTCGCTGTTATTGTGGTTGTGGTTGTTTATATAAACACAGTTGAGAGGGAGGGAGGGAGGAAAAAAACCAAACAAATCACATTCAAATCCTAGACTGCATGTGTCCTTGTTCTTATCTTTTGGCCTTGTTATTTTATCTCTTTGTGGGTGAATCAAATTTGCCAGTTGGTTGTGAGTGTGTGTGGGGGAGGGAGAGGAAGAGAGGAAACAATGTCAATTGGTAAAGTGTTGTGATGAGGGATGTGGTTATAATTTTGCATACAATTTTAGCAATAAACAGCTTGTTTCTACTTTTTTGATCAAAAGAGAGATCTATAACATTTCTCGCTATTTACTTGTGTTTTTGCCTTTTTTCCCCAATTGCCTAAACCTTCCTTCCTAACCACTACTCTATGAAGTTGAAGAGTTGAACAAATAATTAAAGTAAATTAGATGGTGACCACTTATTTAATATCGTATTTCATTATTTTTACCTTGTTGTCCAAGACTCTAATAGCTCATTTGGTGTCAAATGCTTGTTTGGAAATGCTTTTAAAATAACTAAAAGTATTTTTGGTGAAAATTTATTTTGAGGTTCCAAAAGTACTTTAAGTGTTTTCTACAAGAAACACATTTCATGAAGTACTTCAAGTGTTTTTCCATGATTAATTTGCATTTGTAAGGATTAGCACTTCGAAACGAACCTAGACTACATTAAATTGGATAACTCAAAAAATTGTTTGGTGCCATGGATTGTTTGTTACCCTGTTTTGATATCCAAGACTCCAAGGGCTCATTGTGTCCATGATTGATTTGAGTTGAATAACTCATAAGATTCAAGATATGTTAAAGGCGTAAGGGTTTAGAGAATAAATGTGTTCTTATTTTACCTATTGCATAAATAAACAAGATTGTATACATCAAATATGTACACTCTTTCTCTCAAACACTCATATTTATTTATGGCTTAAAAAATGAATGAATGAATAAATAAATAAATAAAAGAATTTCTTGTATATATTTAGGGATGTATTATCCACACACTCTTTTTTACTTCTCCCACACCCTTATTAATTTATGTTCTTTGATCTTCTTCAATTCATCCGATCCGACGGTCGAAAATTGAAAGGGTGTGAGAGAAGTAAAAAGGGATGTGTGGATATCACACCCCTATATTTAATATATTTTTTTATTTTTTCTTCAAAATACCTTGAATTTGGTAAATTATTCAACTCATTTTTATTTAGATGCCCCAAATATTGTAGAGCAGGAGTGAAAAGACATATAACTGACTTGTCCATAGATGGTTTTTGCTAGAGAATCTAGCAAGAGAGAGGAAATTGAAATTAAAAAAATTTCCTGCTGCGCCCATGTTGGTTTAGAGTTCACTACATATAAAAATTTTGTGATGCTCTTGTTAGAAAATATGACACAGAAGTTCAGAGCAAAACGGATAGAGGAAGACTTTGGAAGACTTGAAAAGAGACTTTAAGAAGAAAAAAACATGGAGTATTTAGAGTTAACGAAAGACTTAATGCAAAATCGAGCGCAGTGGTGTTTTAAAATTCATACAACCGACCTTGGTTAATGTACATGTATAACAAAAATATCCTTGATTCGTTTGGTTTTTGACCTACATTTGATTTGATTTGAGGACCCAAGTCTTCAAAGACATCCACACTAAACAAGACATTGGTGCTTGACAATAATTCTCCATGATTTAATAACAATAATTTATATAAATAAAAAAAACCCAAATAACTAATCAGTTTGGGAAGAAGCAGAATTGAATATTTGCTGAATTTGCTTGACGACAGAACCCTTTTTTCATTAGAAGGTAGAAAATCTGGTCGAATACATCCATTATGTATCTTGTTGGGGCCCTGCTGGGATATAATAATTCCCATTGGCCAACACTTTTTTTTCTGGTTGAAAAATAATGCAAGAACAAAACAGAAAAATCAATAATATGTCACACATATTTGTGCTGAATCTTTTGGATTAACTTTAGTTGAGATCATCATTTGTGAACGTTTGTTTTTCTGCTGTAAAAATTCGAAATGTGAGTTTTAATTTGACCCAAGTTAGGAGGTTTTTACAAGATAGAAGAAGGGCTAAATGACACCCTTTGAAACTCTACAATTCTCACCCCTTTTGTATGTGAAAAGTGCCAAAATTATAAAGAAATGATCGAATAATAAAGGAGAAGCTCTTGTGTCTGTTAGACGTATATGACAACACACTTGATTAGGTATATGACCAACGTGAGGTTGGTTCGAGTCAAAATAGACGGTTGTTATTTTGTGCATAAAATTGTATAAGTAACTTGGTCTGGATAGTCAGACATTAGAATTTCTTTACATAAAAAATCAAACATTAGAATTTCTAACGTCTTTGATCGAATAAAGGGTTGAACAGTCGAAAGAAAGTTGACAACACTCATTAAATGGGATCATGTGAAGTTAATTCCATATATCTCCGATGGAAAATCAAATGTGGTGACAATGTGAATGTGACATGAATCAATGATTTGAAATGTGACTATTTAGAAGGATCCAAATTTCTAACTTGATGAGCACATGCCCTTTTTATTGCTTGTGGACCTTACTTAATTCATCCTCCACAATTTATGTACGAAAACACAGTCGATGATCAATTTGGTTTTTTGGCTTTTCCTCCCCCCCTTGCTTTATAGGGTCCAGTGCCATTCGTTTCCTCCTCAAAAATTTCCATGTACTTTCTTGAGTATATTTCGGGTGACACATCTCACTACTTTTTTAGTACTTCTGGTTAGGTGTGTGAATAAGATTGATTACATTAATTCATTGTTTATTTTCTGTTCGAAAATGGATATGCGTACAGGCCGATGCTTGAGTCCCAACAGTGTGCTCGGGCGTTGAATAGTAAGTTTAGCCCTAACGAGAGCCTATGGAGACTCAAACCAAGGCATTGAGGGAGAACACAAAAGTTTTATTTGTTGAAAGTGATAAGGGGGTAACCCAATTTCTAATAAGTTCTTGCGAAGTTTTTGAACTTTGCAAATAGTCCCATAACATGTTGTGAGTGTTAAAGAGTAGATTTAGCCCCAACAAGTGGCTATGGAAACTCAAACCCAGGCATAGAGCGAGACTCTCAAAGTCTTGCCACAAACAGCAGTGAGAGGAGTAGACCAATTCCTAATAATAATAAGCCCCTTTAAAGTTTTCAAATTTTTGGATGCGAGACAAGTCGTCAATGCATATATATCCTCACGTGAACCAAAGATTTGTTGGTGAAATATCTAATTTTGCTGGCTAAATATCAACGGAACCAAACCCTAGTTTTGTTAGCTCCTTGGTGGAATATCTAATGAAACTAGAGAGGAATGGTATGGGCTCTCTTGCCCTGCAGCTTGAGCTTTTGCCAATTAACATGGTCCCCTACAAATATATGAAAATGTCAAACAATGCCAGTTGCTAGTACTAGTTTAGCTATAGCAAAACCCACTGTGAGTTGTATAAATATCGCACCACCGGCCTACACCCACAGTATATGTGTGTGGAATGGAAGACCTAAAGTAGTTTCAAATTTCAGTGATTTTTTTTGTAGAGATTATCTTTAAAGGGAAACCTAAATTAAAGATGAACAGTTGAATCGTCAAAATACGATGTGGAATGAGTTTTACAAACCTAAAAGATGAATAGTTAGATAGTTGAAATACGATATGAAATGAGTCATACAAAAACGGAAAATGACTCTACAATGTGTGCGTGCGCTTGTGTATAATCAAACACCTAGAAGGCTCTCCCTTCCCTCCTAAAAGACAAGTTCACTTTCTCTCACTTTCAAGGCCTAAACATAACAATCCCAAAGTCTGGCTCAAGAAAATGAAAGTCAAACCTCCCTTTCTATTGGATTTTGTCTTTCTGGAGAAGGATGGTAACAAACCGCCCATTTCTTGGCCTTTTTGACCAAATTCAAAGAGTGAATAATAATGGCTTCATCTCTTGATGTATTTGTACGTCTCTGCCCCCACTAATTTAATTTGGCTTGCTAATGAGTGAAAGAAGTGATTGGAATTTGAGGATTTTTAGCCACACAAATTTGTATTGCCTTTTTGTGACTGTCGTTGTGGCTTAACGAAGATCTTGTATTCTAAATGTTGTTGATTAATTTTTCTAATATCTTTCGCATCAAAATCGCACTTACGTCTTTGTGACCAGATTATGAATGCAATGTCCATTTGATTCACCAAAAAATAAATCTTTTTTTTTTATTAAGTTTTTCCCTTAATTTCTTGTGGGGGATGTAGTCTAGAATTAGATAGACGGCATTTATTTGGAGCCATATATAAATGTGTGTAGCTTAATTAGCTTGTGACCAAGAATATACTTGTCACATCCCACGTATGAGGCCACATGGGATCACAACTCAGGCTGATGAATAATGCCACCGAGAGCCATATTTTGCAAATTATTTCAAGAAAACAAAAACTACGTTTCAAGGGACCATGAATTTATTGTTTCTGGGCACCAGAAGGGACACACATCACACAACTCATTGCAAGTTTCAAACAAATCCTTCTCGTCTTTGCATGAGTGGAAGTGTCGGAGAGCTTATGCGACTCGAAATTTATATGAATATAAGATTCAACGTGTACACGATAAACCAATCGACACAGTTCAACTAATATTATTGAATAAAATGATAACATTCAATTTTTTGAGAAGTATGAGCTATTAATTTACCAATGGACACGACACAGACATAAATGAGTAAATCCGAACAAGATCCATTTCAAACCCTTGCACATATGAAACGGTTCGACGGTTTTGATTTGATATGCTTTGTGTTTTTTCTCTTTCATATCAGAGTTTGATTTGTCATTCATTCCATAAGTCACGTTCAAAAAACAGTCGCCCAAATTGCGCAATCATGTGTTATGTGGATAACAGCTACCAACAGCAAACGAGTACTACTCTTCAAAGAGGTTAAAGTGGGACCTCTCTCTCTCTCTCTCTCTTTACACCATCTTCAACCCTCTGATCCTTCAAGATATTAATATTTTAATGTATAGTACATGAACATATTTGTCTTCATCTCCAACCAAAGGTCATAGGGCTCGTTTTAGCCCTGTCACAAAAA